CAGGCGGTTGGTGATGGTCTTGGCGAGTACTTTGCCTACATGCGAGAGCAGCGAGATGCCCCTGTAGTTGTTGCAGTTCGAACGGTCACCCTTCTTGTACAGCACCTTAATGATGGCATCCTTCCACTCCTGCGGCATCTCTCCCCCATTCCACACTTCGACGAAGATGGCACGGAGGCGCTCCAGTACAACTGGCTCGTCGTCGCCGTCGACCTTGAGCAGTTCTATACCCCATGACAAAAAAACGAAACGGTCATCGACCTTCGATCGTGATAATTGCCTAGTTAGGTCCGTTTCTTTTTTTTGGGGGGGGGAAGTGAAAGGATAATGATTCTGGGGATTGTCGAGAGAGAAGAAGCGTTTGCCATCCCTGCTAAATCGGTATGTTGTTTATCAAGCGAAAACGAACGTTTTCCGTGTATTGGGCGGGATAAATAGAGAGAGTAATTTGAATCGTACATCTTGTCCACAGACCTCTGTGCGCTAGGTGATTGCCGGCGTACGTTTCAATATTTCGGACCAACCCTACCCCCAGAAAAATACCAATGTGCAGACTTGCAGATATGCACAACAGGTCCTGAACGGACCACACACCTTCCACGCACACTACACTGCGATGGTTTTGAGCGTGTCTAGGTGTTTGTCGGTGAGACATTTGTGTCTTTGTTCAACGCCCAGGTCACGAAGAGGAATACATTTGGCCAGCTCAAGGGTGAAGGCATGTTGCGCTTCCAGAATACCATCACACCATCCGGTTCAGCCTTGTGTGTTTCTAAGTAATGCGACGCGGGATCGGATATCCGATTAGGTGTAAGCTAGACGCCCGGAGGGTTGGTACCACGTGCGCCCCGTGTCTAGCGCTCTGGTTGGAAGCGATTGGCTTTCGACCCTTGAGCCTGAGGTCGGGCAATTTGCTACAAGCCCGTTCACTTCGCGGAGGTTTCGTTCCATGTGGTTCGTTTCTATCGAGGTAGAATGGATTATGATCCTGCCTCCAGGCTGAGCGCGTCCATCTGCAAACGACGTAGCCCGATTCGATGCATAGGGAGGTCTGTGTCGGCCTTGTGTACCTCGACGCGACGGCGCACATGACGAACGGATTCCTGGTAGTAGGTTTTGGAAAGACGCACATATCGATCGATGTGTTGTGCAATCATGAGAAGAACGTCTCGTGACTTGTCCATCGATGCCATCGATGTGCGTTCAACGGTACCAGTCCCAGCTTTGATTTTGGCTCGATTGACCTCTCGCCGTGTCAATCACAAGGTAGTTTCTGCGTACCGTAGCTTGACGCCGCTGTGCTGTCGTGGGTGCGGCCAAATCGTGCATCGAGACCACCAGTAGTCGGACACGGTTTGACCTTTGAATACGATTGCAGCAACTAGTCTGCGTAGCAGTAGAACATAATCCATCTCTCCGTGGCATGTATCCTCTTGTTCTAGAAATATTCCGGAAGCATGCTAGATCAAGGTTGACCGGGACATCTACGTAGAACGTGTGTAGCTTCTGGAAGCCTATCTGGAAACTTCTAGTTCCTTCTGTAAGCTTCTGGAAGCGTTCTAGATCTAGGTTGCAGCTCGTGTGATTGGCTTATTTGTCCGGTATTCGAGAAGAGTGGTGCAGCCCTAAGCTCGCCCACTCTTCTCACTCCTCTTCAGTACCAGCAACATCAATCTGACTCGGGAGTCAGCAATTAATGTTCATATTTCCATACCAAGTCTCTCGCGGTTGGAGCCGCACAGAGCGTGAACCTCTGAGGTAGGCTACACAGCCTCCTGGCATCTGCAGCATCGTGCTGCTGCTAGTGCATCGCGAAATTACGCCGACAGGTTATGAGCTTCGGCTAACGCACACACTACGAGCTGCGAACATCACGGGAAGATCAAGGCAACCTCTTCTCGGGACATCAACCTTCATCCGTGGACAACGAGAGTACCTGGTTTCGGAGATTTCTGGAGATTGCAACGCCATCATCGGTCAACGGCAACACAAGCAGACGCGCAAACTTGGTCATCCACACCAAGGTGTTGAGGGTTCACGTCATATACACACGTTACCACCCCTGTGGCAGTAGCGGGTATCTCTGTGGTGAACTAGCAGCGAGGGTCACGTGCGCGGGAGTCTCGAGCGGCATACGCATCGGGTGTACAAGGAACTACACTGTATCATCAGTGGAGGCGATCAACAACCGGAGTCCTCTGTATCAGTAGCAGGAGCGGGATCGGAAACAAGAAAACCACATCCGGAGTCCTCTATATCAGTAGCAGGAACGGGGTGGGGAAGTCTCGGGTACAGGCAGTAGTACCACGAGCAACCTTACTCCTACAGCAGGAAGTACTTTTATCAAGACGAAGAAAATAAAGCTGGAACGAGCAATGGATACTGCAACGAGCAACACAGGAGGTGGAAGCGCGTTCGCCAGCGATAGTTCTACGAACCTGGCAACCGTGATCAAAGGCCTCAAGAAATTCGACGGAAAGGACCCAGCTGAGTTCAAGACATGGATGAGGAAATTCTGCGTGGTGTTAGGTGTGACCAGGAAGGACATCCTGCCACTGCTGAAGAAACAAAGGAAGCCAGATCCCGCAGGCACAGCGGCCTTCGACTCCTACACAAGTGCAAACGAAGATCTCTACGCCATTCTTTTCCTCCTAGTGGAACTTCCAGCCGCCTTGTCGATACAGAAGCACGAAGACGACACTGGCATCAGCGGCGACGGACAAGCTGCCTTCGAGGAGCTCTGCAACAACTATGACAGGGTAACGGACGAGGTCATCAGGGCCAAGATGGAGGAGCTGGAGAACAACCCCATGAACCCTGGTGAAAATCCCGACGACTACTTCAACCAGAAGCACCTACTTCGCACCCAGCTGGATAAGATGGGAGAACCCATCTCCGACCGCCGCTTCAAGGACATCTGCGTACAGGGCTTCTCCGACGAATACAAGGACGTCAAACTGATGGTGTTCAGAGACCCAACCTTCAACGTCCTGGACATGCAATCCACCATGCGCAACATCTTCTTGGACGAACAATCGCGCAAGAGATGAAAGGGACGCATAGCTGGTCGAGGATTTGCCATGGCAACGACCGCGTCTGACATCATCTGCCACAGCTGCTACGAGCCGGGGCACATCAGGAGGAACTGCCCCAAGATCAAGAACAGGGCGAAGAAGAAAACGAAGCCCGCCGGAGCTACCAAGTGGTGCTCCAAGCACAACACCACGTCTCACTCGGACGAGGAATGCTACCAGCAAGGAGGAAAGCGCCCGGAAGACACCAAGGACTCAAGTAAAGCATTCACCGCGTGCTCCAACTGCACTCACTGCTCGTCGGCGTCCAACAAGCACGACTCAAACAATGAAGTGGCAGTTGTCGACTTCACCCGGGACGAGGACGCCTTTGACAGCGGCTTCATGTTCGGCACGTGTTCCCGCATCTCAGGACGCAACTTCGCCGCGAGCTCCACCGGGGTAGGCCTGCTGGTAGACACGGGAGCATCGGAGACCATGTTTGACAATCGCCTCATCCCCGACGGAAACCTCCACGATTACACCCAGCGAAACTATCCAAAGATCGTGGACGTGGCCGGAGAAAGACATCTCAAAGGCACGGCCACGGGCATCCTACATTGCACCGTCAAGGACAATCGAGGACAGCAATTGCGCGTGTGGATTCAGGGNGCGCAACTTCGCCGCGAGCTCCACCGGGGTGGGCCTGCTGGTAGACACGGGAGCATCGGAGACCATGTTTGACAATCGCCTCATCCCCGACGGAAACCTCCACGATTACACCCAGCGAAACTCTCCAAAGATCGTGGACGTGGCCGGAGAAAGACAACTCAAAGGCACGGCCACGGGCATCCTACACTGCACCGTCAAGGACAATCGAGGACAGCAATTGCGCGTGCGGATTCAGGGACTCATCGTTCCTGGACTTGGTCGCAACATTTTTTCTCCCACCTCCCTCCTGAAAAAGGGATTGCGCTGCGTCGTCGAAGAGAGCACTCCGCACCTCACTATCCAAGACAAGGTGATTCCACTCACACAAGATCCGCGAGACCAAGGCATGTGCACCCTCGACATCACGTTCGAGCAGAACGTCCAGCCATCTGGCACGAAATCCCTCGTGCCCCACCAGAAGCAGTCACAGACCCACACGGCGAACGCCGTCTGCTTTACGCTAGTGAGCGCGGACACCTGGCACAGGAGGCTTGGACATCTCAATGCTCGGAGCCTGGACATCCTTCGGAAGGACACGGGTACCGGGGTGGACTATCGCGACAGTCTCTCCCCTTGCCGGGTCTGCCAGATCGCGAAACACAAGCAGTCCCCCCACCCGAAGCAATCGACTCGCGAACTATCACGGCCTGGACAGCTTGTGGTCATCGACAACATGGGGCCTGTTAATCCACCCGCGAAATATAAAGGAGGTTCCTTCGCGTACGCGTGCAAGATCACCGACGACTACACGAAGATGAAAGAAGTGTACCTGCTTCGCAAGAAATCTGACACGACCGAGGCGGTGCACACGTACAACATGTGCGTCGCAGCGGCAACAAGGTAATTCCACTCACACAAGATCCGCGAGACCAAGGCATGTGCACCCTCGACTTCACGTTCAGAAGCAGTCATAGACCCACACGGCGAACGCCGTCTGCTTTACGCTAGTGAGCGCGGACACCTGGCACAGGAGGCTTGGACATCTCAATGCTCGGAGCCTGGACATCCTTCGGAAGGACACGGGTACCGGGGTGGACTATCGCGACAGTCTCTCCCCTTGCGGGGTCTGCCAGATCGCGAAACACAAGCAGTCCCCCCACCCGAAGCAATCGACTCGCGAACTATCACGGCCTGGACAGCTTGTGGTCATCGACAACATGGGGCCTGTTCATCCACCTGCGAACTATAATTGAGGCTCCTTCCCGTACGCGTGCAAGATCACCGACGACTACACGAAGATGAAAGAAGTTTACCTGCTTCGCACGAAAAATCTGACACGACCGAGGCGGTGCACACGTACAACATGTGCGTCGCAGCGGCAGGAGGCTACCGGATCGAGACCATCCGCTGCGACAAGGGAGGCGAGAACACCGGATCCGAATTTCGGGACTACTGCAAGAATTCAGCTATCAAGCTCGAATACGCCGCCACCAACACCCCTCAACAAATTGGTGTATCGGAACGGGACGGACAAACCCTGGCCGGAGTCACCCGGTGTCTTCTGAAGGATGGAGATTTTCCGCCGTCCATGTGGGGGGAGTTAATGCTGACTGCAGCATACCTGTTGAACAGGTCCCCACACTCAGCACTGGGAGGAGCTACGCCATACTCGAAGTTGCACAATAAGTCACCTGATCTCTCGGGACTTCGGGTCATTGGAGCGCGCGCCTTCGTACACCACGAGAGATACCGAAAGAAGCTGGACGACAGAGCTTTCGAAGGCAAGCTATGTGGTTTCGGCCTCGACAGCCAGACCTACCGGGTATTGAATCCATCCAACGGGGCCGTGGTCGAGAGCCGGAATGTGACTTTCATCGAATCTCCACCCCGCTCAGTGCCCTTCCAGTATTCCACTGAAGCAAACGGGTACGAGAGCGACGTGCTGAGCTTCACCTCCCTGCTGGACAGCCCCCACTCGACGAGCGCCCTGGACTTCACGGCGCAGGACGAACTTCTTCGGCAAGAAGTCCGGAAGATGCAGCAAGACAATCTCGCTCGGGAGGAGCTTCGCCTAGAACTGGACGGGCACGAGGACGAACATGGACACGGGCAAAATCTCGGCGACGGGGAAGCTCCATCACCACATCTCCCATCGACGCCAGATGGATCGTCATCCGAGGCCCACGCATCTAGCCCCAGTCCATCATCGTCGAACCCGACTGAACCGGACACTTCTGCATCAACTGGATCCTCCGGCATGCGGCGCCTGCAAGTCACCAGAGCCAGCACGCGCGGGAAGCCCACCAGCGACGATCATATCGACGTCAACTTGGTTCCAGCCAATCTGGAAGTCACCATGAACGACCGCGGTCGAGCCCATGCTACAACGGGCCGCGTAGAGCCATCCGGTCTTTCCTTCACTCAGCTGGCTGAGATAGCCGATCAAGCCCAGCTCCCATGCCCTGGCGATACTGAGGATTTCGCCCACGTTGCGGAAGACCCCTTCACGGTGCCGCGTGCTCACGCCTACGTCACGACCACTCACGAACACCACGGGATCTTGGAGGAGACGAACCAAGCGATCAAAATTCCCAACACCTACGACGAAGCCATGAGCTCTCCCCAGCGCGAAGAATGGAAAGGAGCGTGCAGCAAGGAAATGGACAAGCTGCGGGAACACAACGTCTACAATTTGGTGCCCCTCAGCCGCGTTCCCAAGGAAGAGAAGATCCTCGGAACGAAATTCGTCTTCAAGAAACAGCTGGACGGACGCTTCAAAGCTCGCCTGGTAGTCGGAGGACATCGTCAAGAGCCAGGACAGGACTACGGACGCAGCTACGCAGCAGTATGCCGTATCGGGAGCATTCGCATGACGTGCGCCATTGGCTGCCGCAACAACTGGCCCATCTAACAACTGGACGTTGTCGGCGCCTTCCTGAACGCCCTCTGCGACAGAGATGTGTACGTCAGACCCGCCCCCGGTATATCCGCCAAGAACTCCGCGACGGGAGAACCCATGGTGTACAAACTAGAACGGAGCCTCTGCGGCCTATCGCAGTCGCCTGCGCTCTGAAACGACACCCTGAACAAATCCCTCACGGTGTTCGGATGGCAAAAGGACTCAATCCGACCCCTGCGTGTACGTGTATTCCAGCGGCAACATCATCGTGATTCTCACGGTCTACGTAGACGACATTCTTATCACAGGAGGAGACCAGCAGCTCGTGGACCAGAAGAAGAAGGAGCTCACGGATCGATTCGAGATGACCGACATGGGAGAGGTAAAGCGGATCCTCGGGATCGACGTGCAGCGAGACTACGAGCAAGGAACCCTGGCCATTTCACAGGAGCACTACGTGAACACACTTCTGGAGCGGTTCGGAATGCAAGAGGCCAACCCAGTGAGCACTCCTGGATACGGAGCGGAAATCTCCACGAATCAACCTTAGGACCAAATCCTAGGACCCACGGACAAGAAAATCTACAGGAAGCATCCTCTACCTGGCCCAGTGCACGCGATTCGACCTCTCCTACGCTGCCCTACAACTTTCCAAGGCCTGCAGCAACCCAGCGCAGGTGAACATGACAGCAGCCAAGCACGTTCTGCGATACCTTCGGGGTAATCCAGTTCTTCCTATCGTCTACAAGAGAGGACAGTTTCGGCTAGCGGCGTTTACGGATTCATCCTTCGGAGCAAACCCCGACAACGGAAGATCTACCACGGGATATCTCTTCTTTCTGGCTGGAGGACTCATCAGCTACGGTGCGAAGACTCAAACTCTAACCGCGCAAAGCACGGTCGAAGCCGAGATTCAAGCACTTAGCTACTCAGCCAGAGAGGCGGTCTACATCTCAAATTTTATGACGGAACTCAACTTCAAGACCTTCGGATCGGTTCCCATCAACAGCGACAGCACCGGAGCGCTGACAGTGGCCGGGAATGCCATGCACTCTCAACGCACGAAGCACGTGGCCCTGAGGTACTTTTTCATCCGGGAGCTAGTACTACGGGGACAAATCACTCTTCACCACCGGCCCAGCGAGCACCAGTTGGCTGATATCGCGACCAAGTACCTCCCAAAGCACCGATTCGCCTCCATCATTCAGCAGATCAAGGACTTCTCGTGTTGATCGAAGATCTGTGAAGCTCCCTTCCATACCAGAAGGAATTTATTTTCGATACGGTGCCAACGGAGGGGTCGAGGTAGACAAGGATATGGTGATGCCGTCGACCATTGTGAATTAGTTGCTTGATCGAGGGGTCGTGTCAGGAAAATCGTGCGTCGAGACCACCAGTAGTCGGACACGGTTTGACCTTTGAATACGATTGCAGCAACTAGTCTGCGTAGCAACAGAAAATAATCCATCTCTCCTTGGCATGTGTTCTCTTGTTATAGAAATATTCCGGAAGCATGCTAGGTCAAGGTTGACCGGGATATCTATGTAGAACGTGTGTAGCTTCTGGAAGCCTTCTGGAAACTTCTGGTTCCTTCTGAAGCTTCTGGAAGCCTATCTGGAAACTTCTGGTTCCTTCTGTAAGCTTCTGTAAGCGTTCTAGATCTAGGTTGCAGTTGATACTCTTCTAAAACGTAGGAGGGCTTCCAGAAATCATTCTGGAAGCATTCTGGATCTTTCATGTGATTGGCTTATTTGTCCGGTATTCGAGAAGAGTGGTGCAGCCCTAAGCTCGCCCACTCTTCTCACTCCTCTTCAGTACCAGCAACATCAATCTGACTCGGGAGTCAGCAATTAATGTTCATATTTCCATTCCAAGTCTCTCGCGGTTGGAGCCGCACAGAGCGTGAACCTCTGAGGTAGGCTACACAGCCTCCTGGCATCTGCAGCATCGTGCTGCTGCTAGTGCATCGCGAAATTACGCTGACAATGGACGGCCCATGGCCAACCCATGGGGAACCTGTGGGCAGCTCATGGGCGGCCCATGGGCAACCCATGGGCAACCCGTGGGTGGCCAATGAGAGCCCTTCAACCGAATCAGCGTACTCCTAAACAATAGATTGTCCGCTTTGGAACGGGCACTACAGCGGAAAATAACCTTATAGCGCTAACCGTAACCCTAAACCCAAGCCCACATGATATGTGCTAGGTTGGCGCTGGTGACTAAGTTCTAGGTTGATGTAAAGGTCGCTAAGTTCTAGGTTGATATGCCGGTGGCGAACTTCTAGGTTGAAGTGCCCACGGTGGGCACTTCATGGGCCGCCCATGGGCCGCTCATGGGCATGCCCATGGGTCAGCCCACGGAAAGCCCATGGCCGGCCATGAAGCACGCATGGGCGGCCCATGGGTGACCCACGGGTGACCCATGAGCGTCCCATGGACGGTGTAACAAAAGTATGCGTGCGCCCTTTCTTCACGAGGGCCGGGGTTCGACCCCAAGCAGCCGCGCTTTCGTTCATTTTTTTCTACAATATTGTTGGAGAGTACCTTCACGCTTTCACGGTTCCTTTTTTTCCTAGGTCGTCTTGATAATGGGGATCACGGAAACGTACATTTTGTTGGTACATTACGGGCTGTAGCCAAAACGTTTCGCCAACCATACAAGGATCCTGGCCAAACCGCATTTCCCTGTAATTTTGCCCACGATGGGCGGTCCACTGGTATGCCTGACATGCTCGTCGTGGCGGGCTGCCGCACAATGAGCTGCACATGTCCGGGTGCCCATGGGCACAACCCATGGCCAGCCCACGGTGGCATTGTAGGCTTGCCCGTGGGCAAGACCATGGGCGGCCCGTCGAGGGCAAAAATGCAGCCCATGGTGTGCGCACCATGAGCTGCCCATGGACTGTCCATGGGCTGCTCGTGGGCGGGCGGATTATCAAAACCCCGAAAATGTGGGAGACCCATAGCAGGGGGGCGGGTCCGCGTCAAGATGAACAAAAGGAAACGCGATCTGTTTGTGGACAATGTACTTCCGAACACGCTTACCCGTCCGTGGACACGTCCGTGGACAACGTCCATGGACATGTCCGTGGACGTCCGCGGACAAGTCCAGAAACATGTCCATGGACATTGTCCACGGACATGTCCAGGGATATGCCCACGGAAAACATCCATGAACGTCCACGGACGTGTCCATGAAATGGTAAAAAAATGTACATAACCCGACGAATCTTACCTCAAGAGAATCGGATAGATGGATTGTGATGAGCTCGATGGCCCGCTTCACCGCTATTACACTCCGAGGAGACATCACCACCGTCAAGAGTGTGTCCATGTTGACTACCGCCCCAACCACGTTCATTTCCAAGTTATTCTGCTCGCTGTTGGTTCGGCGCAGGACATCGTAGTCGCCGCCATGACGTCGCAATACGTCGGCCTAGGGGCAATGGGGTCGCGCAGTGGTAGAGAGCATACACGCGCAATAATCGGAGAGACGGCAACGGTGTTACTGTACATTCCTTTCCTATTAAGCTACTACGTGATGCCTCGAACTCCACTTGATGCCTTAGAAACACATCAAACCGCATGGACTCAAACCCCTCTGGCGTTCTCTAGCAAGTTCTAGACTGGCCCGATGGTCAACCTGGACTGCACAACGAACGCACCTTATTTGCATCAAGTACGTCTTCCAGCACGCAGGAATGGCCACCACTCGCTGCCGACGCCACCAAGATTCCGTATCGATCAAGTTTTTTTTCGGGGCTCTCGTGCTCGATTCCAAGCGCAACTCGAGACGCAAGTCGGCGTGGCATGGGTTTGTGGCCGGATCATGTTGTACATTCTGGACGAGGGAGCATATGTAGTCCTGGACAACTTCAAGCCTTTTCGGCCCTTCGTATGCAGCGTGCATCAGCGCCGTAGAGTTACACTTGGGGCTCGCGGGTTGAGTAAATCACCCCAACTTCTCGGATATTCCGTGTTGTTGGCCCGGTCTACCAGCACCGAGAATGGGGCCAACACTGTCGAGTTCACGGGCGTAAATCCCATGATCATGTAGCAATGCGTGCATTAGGGCAGTCCTGCCGAGTTATCCACAATGCGCAGGAAGTCTTGCACGAAATCCGGCCCCTGTAACGACGCCTCCTTCAGCTTCACAATATCGGGGCAACCCCAGCGACAGGCCACATGCAGGACGGTCATGCCTTTGTAGTCAACAACACGTTCCGACCACAAATGCTCCGAATGGCCTGTCTCTTCATTTGTCCTCAGGTGCCGGGGATTCCGGAAGGTCGTCGGCGAGGAGCCACGACGTGCGAGGAGCCTCCGTTTGATCCCCGTTGTCCGTATTTCGAGGGCATCCACCTCCGTCGCCATCGAAGGCTTGAATCACCGCTTGGAATACGTTCGCTACCTGGCTCTTAGCCGGGCGGAAGATTATCGACCTTTCCTTTAGATCAATGGCCTGGCATGTTCCGGCAGTCGGGTTGTGAAGCAGGAGTGTGGGGGGGGCTAACGGTGAGTTTCCTCCGAGAATTTCCAGGTCCCAAAAGACCTTCCAAACTGGCTTTTGTCATAAGGACGAGTCACGGTGATCAACGGGAGGGTTCGCATAAATTTGAACCATGAAACTGACCTGAACCTGCTGTCTCAGCTCGTTTCTCCCCAGGGTTTTGTGGAGGACTTTGCACACGAACTCGAAGCACGCGGCGCTTAATCCTCCTGCTGCATGAAACGAAAGTGGGGCCCCTTTGAAGTCTGACTCACGGAATGGCGTGATAAATCCGCCCCGTCCCAGCTGCAGGGATGGGTTCCAAACATGAAAAATACAACGGGCATAGCTGACTTATGTAAATATGTCGGACAGATTTTGGCGGCAGAAAATGATGATAAGAATCGCGGGGAGTCGAAAGTAACACTGGGCTCCACTTTTGCGAGGTTCGCATCTATGGTACATAGTTCCTACCCCATTTCTTCCCAGGCCCCCAAAGGAGTTTGGGCTGTTCGTGCGAGGCTCACTCACTCTTTGCTTGACGACAACGACGGCCGACTTAAAGGAGCAATCACGGCCCAGCATTGCGGCATGCATGACCACGTTGCACCCATCCCCGACGTCCTTGGACTTGAGGGCCTCGGCAATGACTTTCTTCACCTTCGTCCCATGTTGCTGGTCAAGGGGCGAAAGTCCGTGCTGCAAGTCCCGATTCCCGTTGATGGCTGCTCGAATGCGACTTATCATGCGTTCTTCATTTTTCTTCACGGGAATGAAGGGCGGATAGGGGGGGAGGGCAGGGGGGGAAGGTCCGAGTCGTTCTCTGATGCAGCATTGCGAACTACCGGTAGAGATCGAAATTTCCCCCCGTGAACGGCACCATATTATCGGGCGATTGAAATCGTAAAGTCCATCGGAGCACGCTCTGGTTGAACGACGGGAGCTCACGTTTTACCTACTGCAAGCGTCGATGCCCTCTTGACGCTTTTCTCTCTGATGCCTCTCTTTAGTTGAAGGATGAAAGTACCGTGTGAGGGTGGAAGACACGCGCTCCAGACAAGCAGCCCTACATATAGACACATCGTACGTCGCATGCGAGGGGCACAGTATGACCGAGCGATGTTATCACCCGAAATTCATACCCTGGATACTTGTCGCTCATGTCCGCGTGTTGTCGCCGCCAAGATCTCCCGTTGCGCGCCAGTTTTCGCGCGTACGACAGCAGGCCACGCCAATGCCAAGTCTGGTATGCGCGTATGCAATGCTCCAGCAACCTGAAAAGATCATCGGCCGACGCTATTAGATTGAGCGAGTCCTGAAGCGCTGCTGTCGGAATGAACACCATCGGTGTTCAATGGGTATTCACTTTGCGCCAACCATAGGTATTTATTGTGTTGCCGGCACCGCAGCCGCCACAGCTGTTGCTTTTGTAATCACAGGGAGGTTGCGATGAAGTTCTACGTGAAAAAATAGCTCAAGAAATTCACTAAGAACCGACACTTGCATCAGCGCACGGGCTACACTCAATTGTGTTCTTCTCTGTTATGCTGGACACTTGCGGTCGTACCCATAATTGAAACTCAAGAAGAAGTACCAGAATTATTGTGAAATTAGGTAGTGTGTCCCAGGTCTATCTATTGTGGCGCTACAAGTAGTCTACACACAGAAAGAGAAAATGTGCCCGCATTTTCTGATTGTTCATTTTTTTTTATAGGAATTTCCTTTGGTCGAGAATTCCATGGTCGGCGAATGACGTCAGCCACGGTCATGACGCCGTCTCTCGGGGAAAACTCGAAAACCTTACATTCGCCGTGGACGACTGATTTGGTTGATGGCCTCAGTCACTCGGGGGAACCACAGACCACACGTATAGTACAATCATTCGTGTCCTGGACGAAAGCATTTATTTATCACCTGGCCGCACCGAAAAATTCCTGGGCTGGGTGGTGTTGAACCCACCACTCCCTCTCCTCTTCTCGTGGTATTATCTATCGCATCCACACGATGGACGGACGCTCTTTGAATAAAAAAAAGGCACACACAGCAGGGACAAATCTTGACGGGGAGCAATCGTCGCCAGGAAACACCCACACGCTCATAACTACGTCCTTCCCTCACAGGAGAAGAGGCATTCTCTACATTCCAATCGCGTCTCCACCACACAGTCATCGAGAGACATATATACTATTATTATTGTCACCAGTCAACGGTGCCACCACCGTGGTTGACGCTTCGGGTAACAAAAGAGAAAAAATATGTTGGCTCATTTCAAAGAGAGGATGGCACGGGCAACCACGGCACCTGTATCATCATCACATGCCACCAGCTACCGGTGGTGCTACGTGGAGCAGGTAGACCAGGCCGCACCCCTCGCAGGCAGGAGCAACGGGTGGCGGTACATGGGGCCTAGAGGGGTCACCTATAGGCGCCAGGCCGTCTTCGGCGCGGGGTCCTTCCCTTCCTCGTCGGGGCCGGGACACATGTGGTTCAACTCGCACCCCCTCGGAGGAGATCCTAACCTGTACACTTTTCAAACTTGGGCGAGGATGGTGCTGCAGAGAGACCTGGTCCACCCGCGTGACGCTGAGGCTTGGCGCACAGCGTTTGTAGATGTAGAGGGTGGTGGCCTTGGACAGCTGGTTGTGTCAGCGGCCGACGATACCTGGCGAGTAATCCTCTGCTGGGCGTCAGCTGGCAGGAGGATCGACGTCGACTCCGGCATCCCGATCTCTCTTGAGCCTCCAGGTCCGATCTGGTATCGACTCCCAGAGCCCCTTTTTCAGACAGCTTAATATAAAGACCTTCGGGCGCAGAGTCGTGAGATAAGCCCCCATCACCGCGTTCGGCAAAAAATGGCAAAACAGCTTCCCGGAGCCTGTCTCGCTCTCCTCATCGCCGACGCTTGGCGTGACAGTCAAGTCGACCTGCTAAAAGCACGGGAGAGAAGAAGGTTTGGATTCCGCGATGTAGATCCCACGGGTGCGATTATGATCTCATCCCGTGGTGGTCGACCAAACAGGGCGCGCCTGTACAAAGCAAGAACGCTTTTGACGGTGGGAACTACTTCCGCAACCTCTATTTGATTCTACTGGAGCGAGACATCGGGGAAATAGAGTTCGACACATGGGTTTCGGGGGATACAGAACCACCCACCTTGACATTACTCCATCTCGAAAATTGGCTCTATAATGACCAAGGTCAGCGTGGTGGTGTGGTCACATCGGGGCACTGGTGCCAATATTCTTGGACCATCCGACGGGAAAACGAACCTCCGACCGCCCACAGTGTACAGTGACCGGTCGCCCCGGTGGTCTAGTGGGTAACCTCGCAGCCTGCCAAGGGCCAGGTCATGGGTTCGAGTCCCGGAAGAGTGAGTTTTTTTCTCACTAAATATATCCTGGTCTAGGATGAAAGCGACGTGTTGCAAAGCTCGTTGTTAGTAAACCATATTCGATTTCGTATGTCGCGAGGGAAGGGATTGCTGTACCCTTCTCGCGATAAAAATACATCAGGCAGGAACCGCAGGAGGGGGTCCAGCCGCCCCCTCCTATGTGACCCCGGTTGGGTCGTCTAGCTAGTAGAAGTGGAGGATAGGGGCCAGAGGGGCAGACGACAGAATCCGATGATGGGAGAACAAAAAAAGAAAAGTACACGTTGGGGTTCGTGAGGGACGCGTGTAACGGCTTGTGCTCGAGGGGCCTTGGAGAGACAGGTTTGGATCGTCTCTAGACGTGGCAATCGAGTACAGCGTGCGAGTTCCGTCGAATGTCTGAGATGACCGAGGAAGAAGAGGAACCAGAAACGTTTGGTTTTGGCACCAAGACCTGCTCGTGTGTCGCTGACATTGTGAGTGATATCATGGCCATCAACCAAACGGGGGGGACCACAACCGACAGCCAGTAGAAAAGCGGAAGTATGGGAGAAAAAAATCAGAGTTCAAGACGTGGTACACGCCTCCAGGAACGACCCTCGACGAACTCATGCTCCACCTCCACCTCGCTAGGGTCTCTTGCAGGGGTAAACTCACGAACTTAAGTCGCTGGGATTCACTGTCCATACCAGCGCATGGAGCAAACATCCAAACCTGGTGCAGCGCGAGCATGGGTGGGCTCGATCCCGATGACTTCGAGCGCGACCAGTCAACACCATTGATCGAGCTGCATAATGCCCTGGGTCTGAAGTTCTACCGCGGGGTATTGGTTTTCGAGTATCGAGCCAGTACAGTCCGTCTCTGCGCGCCCTCCTTGAGGTATGCTGGCGAGGGCCGATCGTCGGGGCAGAGGACGTGTCCGGGAGTTCCTACGGGAGGGAAGACTAGCAATGCGACATCAATGGGACCCACACGGCCGCTCCAACGAACATGGCGACGATGCCCGTTTTCGGCCACATGCATGAAGTGGCGGAGTTCGATGGCCACGATATTGAGGATTGGATCCCGTACATCATAAATCTGGACGCGCTCGAAGAACCCGACGCATTCGTTAATGCGGGCGTGACGCCCGTCTTCGGTCGAAGCTACAAGCGTTACCTCGACTCATCGACACCGCGCCTCGCCAGTGTGTAACCCACTTCGTGCGACCGTCCAGAATGGTCAGCAGGTGCCACATACCCAAACTTGTGAGAGACCTGCTCGCGCATGAGCTGGGTGATCCCGTCCGCGAGGATGCCGGCTGTGCACGCCGATTCAAAAAAGGAATACTCGTGCGGGCCAGCGGATTGTTGTGGCAGAGATACGCAGACAGGATAGGTGCCGTCATGGTTACGAGCAGTGACGAGGCTTCGGCTGTGGGTGGAAAAATTGTCCCTGTCCTGTGCGAAGTCGATCGCGTCAAGGCCGAGCTTCGNTCTTCGGTCGAAGCTACAAGCGTTACCTCGACTCATCGACACCGCGCCTCGCCAGTGTGTAACCCACTTCGTGCGACCGTCCAGAATGGTCAGCAGGTGCCACATACCCAAACTTGTGAGAGACCTGCTCGCGCATGAGCTGGGTGATCCCGTCCGCGAGGATGCCGGCTGTGCACGCCGATTCAAAAAAGGAATACTCGTGCGGGCCAGCGGATTGTTGCAGCAGAGATACGCAGACAGGATAGGTGCCGTCATGGTTACGAGCAGTGACGAGGCTTCGGCTGTGGGTGGAAAAATTGTCCCTGTCCTGTGCGAAGTCGATCGCGTCAAGGCCGAGCTTCGTACGGGACAAGGGGACCTTGGAATCGACTCACTTCACACCGGTGATGCATTCCTTGGTTTCGACGCAGAACGGACCTGGTACAGAGATGGCTTCTGGGAGTTAGGTGCGCTCATTCTCGACGAAACTCGATTACGAGTGTTGGAGGCGAGGAACGCTCTCGAACTATGCGGCGCGTNCGATCGCGTCAAGGCCGAGCTTCGGACGGGACAAGGGGACCTTGGAATCAAGTCACTTCGCACCGGTGATGCATACCGTTGTTTCGACGCAGAACGGACCTGGTATAGAGATGGCTTCTGGGCGTTAGGAACCCTCATCCTCGACGAAACTCGATTGCGAGTGTTGGAGGCGAGGAACGCCCTCGAATCATGCGGAGCGTCCGACTTTAGCTACCAGTGTGACGCGGTATTCTTCACGGGATCTTCGTCGGTACAAGAAAGGATGAGACTCCGCTTCGACCATCTGTTTAGCGGCGACGAAAAAATTCACGGCACTCTCAAATTTGAACCAGCTTTGAAGAACCCGCTATGTGGGGAGAGAAGGGTGTTCGAAAGCATCGTGGTCAAGCTATCGCTAGATGTGTTACCTCCGGCAACGAGGAAAATTCCTTGCCCACTAAACCCCCCGTTTTTAGTGATCCCGCCGTGGGATGGCATCGGGACCGGCTTCAATTCGATGGAAGGCGCGCACGATGCCTGGCGTCGTCTCGGCAAGAACACCAAGCGCGATCTGTGGCCGGAAATATGCGAGACCGAGTCACGATCGAAGCTAGAAAGTTTATTCCGCGGCTTGTTGTCTCCGTAAGGTTCAAGGATCGTCTGCGCTATGACCGGAGAACCTGGAGGGGCCGGGAAAAGTTATTGCACTATCCGCGCTACCACGGCCATCTTCGAAGCAAGGATTGTCTTGACTCCCACGAACAGCCTGCGCACGTCCTACCCAAATCTGCCATCCGGGTGCAGTGCATAGACCGCTGAACACCAGCTCCAATTCTACCTGAGGAAGACGGCGGGATTGATACGAACGCTCAAGGTCGACGTAATCATCATCGAAGAAGCTGCTAATATGCCTCTCCAGACCCTAAGCATGATCATGGCTGCCGCCCATAGCAGCGGTACCCACGTGATCGGGACGTACGATATGCATCAACTCCAGCCCGTTTCCGATAGCAGCGGCATGTCGATTAGCAGGAACAACGTCGACAGGAAGGTCACCCTCCAAAAATCCTTCCCCACGTGCTTCCATGTCTTCGCGCGCAAGCGAGACAAAACTATCGAAGACCAAGTGTGCGATTTGTCTAGAATACATCAAAGACCCGGCCCAGGTTCTTGAGGTCTTGAGAACCCTGCATCCAGGCTCTCTGAACAAGAATGTCCGGCGAGTAAGGCGAGAATGGATGCAAGCATACCGTCCCGGCCACAACGATGGCACCATCAGGAAGGACCTTAAGCGTGTATGGAAGGTCATTCAGAGAAAGGCGTCGTCGCTGGCCAAGAAAACCTCGAGCAGTCGTAGGAGTCATTCCTTGAAAAAGCCCAAATGTAGCCGGGCGACGTGCCGTTTCGTTCGCGAATTTGGATTTTTTCGGCAAGTGGGCAACGCGAAACTCCGTTCATTCCCGAAAGGAGTCCTAGACCGGGCTTGTTGACATCGGCGAGCTCATCCGTAAGGTGGACCTACTCCCACCTTACGTCTCTCAGCTGGTACTCACACAGGAAGAAAAGAGCCTTCCAAGGAAAATATATCGAGAAGCCTTGGCAGCGAAGTACGAAAAGAGCATTATAGTGAATGCAAGCGATCTTATCGACCTCATGGCAGCAATAGTTAGATATCCCAGAGCACACTACTTCGAATCACCGTGCGCGTTATCGTTTGCTTCGGGGTTGGCGCTGCCAGTATTTGTTGGTAGTGCCGTTCAGTGTTCTCCGAGTGATACCGACTCTCCTCATGAAGCTTTGGTTGAGTACGATGGTTGAGGGGTCGACGACACTATCATCCCGAATACCCCTTTTGTGCAAATACGAGCACTTCCGGGAGGAAATCAAAAGGCTGCGCGGTATGAAGGATACTCTTCGTCTCACGCCTGCCGAGGTCAATCGTCGATACAGTAGGTCGGCAAGTAAGTGTGACTGCCAGAAAGGTGCTTGCGGATGAAGTCGGATTTGGAGTATTCAGCGATTTGAGGGCGCTTTACGTAGTGATAAGTCATGACGTATTTACGGGGTACGAGTTTGATTTGGGTGAATGGGTACAAGTCGCACGTGGTGGTCAGAATTCACAAGGCTTAAGCCGGAAGTGCGCGGTTTTGAAAGTAAAAAAGATCAAGGACGACAACTTCAGGCATTGGCCGATGTGATTTCATGCTACTAGTAGCACCCGCCGATGCTTTGTCGTCGACAAAAAACGCACAAAGTAGAGTGAATCGTGGAAGTGTCTTCACTTTCCCGAGTTTTGTCACCGATCTCTTGAATCAATTCCCAAATCCGCAAAAAAATGTGGGCAACGCCGCGTCTTCCATCCCTAGAGCACTCCCTAACCGGTGGCCTATTCCACCTCGTGACATCATCACGGACTGGCCCGAAATCTCGCACATGGACGTCCAATGTGTTCGAACAACACACATTTTTTTCTACTTTCATACGATTTTCACACGATTTTCACACAAATTTCACACAATTTTCACGCCACCTCCACCTGTACAAGGTCTACGAACAGAAATGTTCAGACAAGTCCGAATGACTGAGACTAGCACCTCGGGAGAAACACGTCCTGGTTAAAGATTTATCTTCCACAAACATACGCACACACCAATGCTTGGACATGTGCACATAAAAGGATGATCCTCACAACCACAACAACAACTTTTTGATATTTCTATCCCTGAAGACCCCGAATGTGACCTCCTGGCACAAGCAGCCGACAGGCACGAATCCAATATTTGGTAAGACGCCCGTTCGCCCTTGTATGAGTGCCCGCCTACCCCTGCGCATTTAATGCTTCCTGGCCATCTGCATCATGCAGAGGTTGCCTTTCGCTGTCTTGGCCACCGCCTCGGTCCTGACACGGTCCTCCTCGCACGGGTAGGCTGTTCTCGCGTTGTCGCCGTGGCTATCGAACGGCTGGGTGCCCAAGTTCCACTCTCCGTTGCTCACGCTGGGGATGCTCGACTCGTAGAACTCCGACGGGTTGTCCGACCTGATAAGCTTGCCCTTCTTGTTCTTCTGACCACGGAAGTGGAGGCCAATGGAGCTACGGCAGCGGCCGTAGTCGAACTCCTCGTCACCGGCGCCACCGGGGCCTCCCGGGTGGCTGTTGGGATTCTTTTGCTTCCCCAGTGGTTTTTTTTTCGCTCCTAAAAATTCGTTCGGGTCAATCATTGAGAGGCGACAAGTGGCCGAGTTTGAGCGTCTTTTTCGCAAGACGAAATACGGGATTCCACAGGCGACGGATGGAGCGGTACAACGTGAACGTCACCAGAGCTGCAGCAGCGAATATCAAGGGTGGAGAACATTTCTGAATACACACGAGTAGATACTTTGCATCTCATCCAATCGCTGTTGGCGGTTTGACTCACTGCTTGCTGAAAACAAACAATACAACAACAGCATCTCATTCGACGGGTCCATTGCACGTCTTGGTATCAAAACAGTCAATGGAGCAGGGAGCGGGGTGCCGAGCGTAAATGGTGTGCGCCGCACACGGATACGGGAGGGCGGAAATGGTTCGCCTATATGGCAACAACAACAACAAGCACGACAACAACAGCACCAGAGCTATCGTGCGTAGTCCACCGTCTAGAAACAAATAAACACAATGAGTCACTCACCGCCCACTGAAGCGTTCTTGGTGTGGGGGCGATCCTCGCCGCACACGCACTTGCCAACCTCGGCACTGGTGCAAGCACAGCCGTCATGGGAGCACGAGTTGGCTGTCCGGAACACGGAACCGACTACGCAAGAGGAAAACAGACAATTAAATAGGCGCCAGGGAGGGGGTCGCGATGATTAAAAGTCGAGAATGACGAGGGACAAAAACAACAACAACACAAGCATGAGAAGCGAGACAAAATTCCAGCCAACGGGTCAAACCGCACGCCTTGGTATCGATGCATTCTACTGAGCAGGGAGCGGTGATGCCGAGAGCAAATGGGGTGTGCCGCATGCGACTAAGAGAGGGCGGAAATGACTCGACAATAAGGCAACAACAACAACAACAACAACAACAACAACAACAACGACGACAACAGAAGTAACGACAAGCTGGCAATTGAATCGTCGGCCCAGAGGCCATAAAACTTCATTCAAAGGGTCAAATCGCACGCCTTCGTAGCATCACAAAGAGGGAGCGGAGCTGCGGTGATCACATGGGGCGCGGGGCATCAAGCACAACACCAACAGAAACAACGACATCCACATTTGGACAAAGGACACATGACAAAGCACAAGCACAAGTTCACTTCCCACTGACTCATTCATTCATATATTATTCAATTCATTCGAAGCGACAACACACATATGAACAGGTTGGGTCTCAGGGTGTGTGATCAGGGCCAAAGGTAAACAGTTCCGAGTGATGCGGGAAACCCCCTCGCCCTCCCGCCGTTGATTACGTACAAAAAAGACTGAACCGCTCGAAATGTACGAAGTCCTTTCATCAACAACCTGTTATACCGATTCTTCTTCACCTCCATCTCGCCGGTCCTGAATGTAGGACGCCCTGTTCTCTTCCTTCTGGAGCCTGTTTCAGTCGCTTGTCTGCGAAGACCCACAGGACCGGCCGATCTGCGCCTGTGTTGGAGGGGGCACGTATGCCGGCACACCTACTCCGGCCTTGACCTCGTTCGAAGTACCCTCTGCGATCCTTTCGACGTCGTCGACGAACGTGTGGGGGCTGATCGGGTCGAGGTCGATGACGAACGTGTTGAGCGCTCTTTGTTGTGGTGACTCGTCATGTATGTGGTGATTGTCTGGATGATAAGTTAGCGCTAGTGATTTGTTTTGGTGGTGTGAGCCCGCTTTGGTTGGCTTGTGACCACGGAAGGTGTCAGCGTCGATTCGACGGGCACGAACGCTACGAGATACAACCGCAGAACGGGCCCACGGTTGGGATACATTCGATTAGAAACAGAAACAAGCGCGCTCTAGCAATACTATTCACGAAAAATATGGCTAACAAACACAGCTAGCTATGGGCGGTGAATCCTTCACTACGCTAAACTCTATAAACAACCTGTGCGTGACGGTGGCGATGAAAAAATGAACTAAGCATCGACCCGATTTCGACGTTTCTTATCTCCGGGCCCGTTCTGTAATGTGGAGACAGTGCCAGCGACAACAACGAGCACCGTCCGAGGAAAGGGTGGGCAACAAATGAAAAATATGTCATTGCAAGGGCTTCGATTCGGTATGAACTTCCCCGGTGCGGGCCCGGATGATACCTCTAACAGTTTACTGAAGAAGAGAGAGAGAGAGAAAAGGTGGCCGCAGTGTTCTGGTTGGCCAAATTGTTTTGAAAGGAAACATCTGATTGGCCAAAAATCCCTGGTCGACATGTGATGTGTCATCCATGGCGGGTTCACCATTTTTCTATAGACATCCAGATATGTCAATCTGACCGTAGATGACAGGCTGTTGTTGTGTGCCCGCTGATTGATGGTGGTTGGTCAATTTTGATATTGTCTACATCTAATCTTTATTCAGGTGTTGGTTGGTGAGTACAACACAAGAAAAAACCAACTGCCGCAGCATACACTAGAGTTCGCCTGTGTGACTTTCCCACCATTCATTTTGAAAAGTTCATAAACAAAACAGAGACCCCATCACCGAGCTACACACAAGCAGCTACACACAAGCGGCTAGCCGCTGCCAGCAGCAGCAGCTATATCCACGTACCCAGCGGGTGTGTGTGTACTACTACACTCATCCTAGAACCATGCAAGTACTTCTGCTGTAGCCTTGCATGGTAAGACTTATACTCATTGTTGTAGCATGTTTGTACTGTACAGCAGTACCTCCTGACGATCCTGCTTGAACCGGTACGCTTCATTTGACATCCCGACGCATTGAATAATGCCCTCTACATCTAATCAATCTGTATTATTTTTACTTCGAGTAGACAGCTGGCACGGTTCGGGATATTAACTACAACTGCTATGTAATCCCTATTCACGCGCCAAAAGGCGGTGCCATGAACGAGTACTGCTGTTGTTACTTGATGATTTCACGCATTTTAGACTTTACCTGACTCCCCACAAATGAATGCCGCCGGTCGTTCACCTCTCTCTCTGCTTCGGTATTTGTTACTCTACCTATTTCGGCGAGTTTTTTTTTTTC